ACTGGGGTAGGGTGGCATCCCACTGCAGAGCAGCTGGGAAGCAGAGGAGTTTAGGACTCCCTGTGCTCCTCAATGATCTCATAGAACCCTAAAGTGAGAGGAAAAAAACTTTATTTTGCTTGCTTCAGACCCTCTACAAGACCAGGGAGCAGTGAAATGTGGTGGGAAGGCTGGGGGCAGGCAAGCCCAGCCCAGGACCACACACCAAGACCCTTTCTGGTGGGTGGGCACTGCCTGCTGGTGTTCCTGAGGGATATCTGCCTTCAGAATGGTTCTGGTGGAAACTGAACTTCCTGCAATAGGGCAGATGCACTATACTGATGAGTTCCAAATAGAAAGAAGTTTTAAGTTGGTGATAATGAGGCAGAGCCACCAGTAAATGACTGGTGAGGTCCTGACACAGCGACTGTAGGTCGGGCTCGGGGTGGGTTTTGGCATGATAATGTTCTGGCTTCTGGCAGTGTAAGCAGTGGAAAACTGGCACTTCATGGACCTTCTCACAGCCTGTGCCATGGGCAGGGACACCTTCCACTAGACCAGATTGCCCCAAGCTCTGTCCAGCCTGGCCTTGGACATGTCCAGGGATGGGGCAGCCACAACTTCTCTGGACATCCTGCTCCATGATGTCTCACCATCCTCACAGTAAATAATTTCTTCCTAATATCTAATCTAAATCTCTCCTCTTTTAATTTAAAACTGTTCCCCTTTGTCCTGTCACTCCCTGTCCTAAGTGAATCACAGAATCAGCCAAGCTAGAAGGGACTCTCCAAGTGAAGCCACACTGTGTTCATAAAACCCCTTCGACACATTGTGAACACAGCTACTGACCACAGCAGCTCTTGAAATTCCCTGTGCCTGGGTGATGGCCCTGCCTGGCAGCCCTGGAAAGGGCTTGGACCTCCCAGCATCATCCCCTGTGCTCCTGGAGGAGGGAAAGCACCTGACTGCTGTCTGTTGTCACCTTCCTAGTCCGGCTACTGCGGGGTGTGAATGTTCCTTGCCCACACACCTGCAGTAGAGGTGATGTCCTTAGTGATGCTGCTCTGGACACTGAGGGTCATTCCAAGGAGAGAACCTTATTTCCTTAAAGCCCCACAGGATCCCTTTCCCCATTTGATGTCTGGACATGGCTGCAGGTTCATGCTGGAAAAGCTTCTCATCAAATTTTGTATCGAATATATTAAAATACTCAATCAAATTGACAAAATCCATTTTTGGAGCCTAAAAAAACTTAGGACAGTGATGGTATTTAAAGATTCCCCCCTCCTTTTGGGCACAGTGATGTTCCAGAGCTGCTGTTCTTCCCGTGGAGTTGTACTGGGAGGCTTTGGAAGCAGGGATGGTGAGGCTGGGCAGCACCAGCGAGCTGAGGGATGGGCAGACACCACATCTTGGCATCATGGCCTGCTCCAGGGCCACGGAGCATTGAAGCTGGCAAGCCAGGGAGCCTCCCACCCTGCTTCCCTTTGATTCTTTTGGGTGTAATAACAAGCCAGAGCATTGTTAGCACAAAATGCCAATTACACCCCAAAACAGCCACAGAAAGGCTGCAGGGCTGCAAGGGTCCATCCTCCCATCCCATCGCCCTCCTCGGCTGCCAAAGCGCCTCCCCCCTGCACTCACCCTTAACTTTCCACTCATTTTATTCCTGAATATTGCAGCCCATTTTGTGCCTCCCAAGCTGAGCAGATAACAGAGAAATGGCACTATCTGGTTTCCCTGCTTTGTAGGCCCGGTAAACACGTCTGTAGCCAAATCCTGACAGCAAAGTGAAAAAATCCTTTGCGGTTCACAACCCGTGGGAAAACAGGAAAGTGTGTGCTATAAGGAGAAGTGTTCCAGAAACAGCTCTGATCCTGCTCCGAGAACAAGCCAGAGTCAGGGTGGCATTGTACTAAAAATTTAGATCCAGCAAGAAGCCAGGGCAGTGTGGGGGGACCAGTGGTGGGGGACGTGTCTGGATGACACAGGGCAGGGGACACTGCAGAGCCACCCACCCCATTCACACTGGGCTGGTGGGGCAGCACCAGTGATGGGGGCACCCCAGCAAACAGCTGGGACTGAACCCAGGAACTGCAGACCTTTCACCCCACCACACCTCAGCTTCTCCAGAAAACTAGGAACTCAAATTATAAATCCTTCAAAAAAAGCCAAATATATAACTGGTACCATTTGGTGGACTATAGGTGTTTCAGAGGCTGGTTGGTGCCCTGCATCTTTCCTCTTCAGGTGATGCTTTAAACAATGCTGAACAGTTTGGTCCATGTCCCCCCACCTGCTCCTTCTCATTCCTTTGATTACAGTAGGATCTTAATGAGTGTTTTAATAAGTCTTATTAGCTCAATGTCTCACATTCTATAGGATGACTTCTTCCAAGGTCTGGCTCACAAATGTATTTTCAGCTGTGTTTTCCCTGTCTTGGAAGGGATGGATGGATGGATGGATGGATGGATGGATGGATGGATGGATGGATGGATGGATGGATGGATGGATGCTCCTCATCCTAACCCCAAAATGAGTTAGGTGAAGCAAGAAGTGATGATGACAGAAGTGGTTGGTGTAGCCTGAGCTGTGATTCAGCCACACAACCCCATGTCCATCTCCCAGGGGTTCCTCCTCCACAGTGTCCCCCACCTGGACACAGATGTGCCCAAAGAGCTGGGTCAGTGGATGCTGGGGAGTACCAGAACCTGCTGCAGTGGGGGATGCAAAAACCACAGCAGGTCCACTCGAACCCACTGGAATTGCTGTGTGACACCCACGGGTCTGGGGACACAGGACAGTCCCCGGAGCAGACACAGGGACTCCCTCACCGAGCAGGGTCGCGGTGCCCCCTCACCCCGTGCAGCTGGCGGGGGTGGTTTGTTGACTCAAGTGCTGTTACCTCATTCGGGGATGTTGGTTTTAGGTCCCCGCCAGTGTGGGAACCGGATCCGAGCTGCTCGGCAGCGCCTGTCAACTCCGGCCAAGGAATGCGAGCGGCGGCGGAGCAGGGGGAGCTGCCAGGGGCATCCCTGCCGGCCCAGCGGCCTCACCCTGCCCCTCTCCAGCCCTGGAAAGGGCCAATCCCTCCAGCTCACCCTCTGAAGGGCTTTAGGCACTGCTCACCAGCTACCACTGAGATGGTCTCAGCGAAGTTTTAGCCTCGGATCCCGTTTCCCTCCCCATCCAAAATAGGGGTCTCTCCCCCCACCATGGGGTGGCAGGGGAAGAAACAGGTTATTGAGGGCTGGGGGAAAGCAGAGCTGCGGCAAAAGCAGGGGAAGGAGGATGCAGGGAGACAGGCTTTCCCTTCCCCTGCCAAGCAGAAAGTGCTGCACAGACAGGGACAGGCAAATCACAGGACATTCCAAGCGTAGGAGCACAACCCAGCGTCCAGACGTGATAAAACCACCGCCACCACCAAGCTACAGCCCCCTCCTGCCTGTCCTGCTGGGAACCAGCTTTCCAGGGAATGCTGCCCTCGGGCTGGGGCCGATTTCCCACCCAGCTCTTTTCCCAGGGACGGTAGAACCCCGCAGAGGGGCCCCGGGGAAGTTGCCCCGCTGCAAAGCGAAAGGACAGGCGAGGGACAGTGGCCATTCCCAGGGACAGCCAGGGCCCCACCATGCTGAGCTCACCCTCGCACTGTATCCGGGGCCAGCCTTCCGCCCCGGCAAGTGCATCCTGTCTCCAATGCTGCTTCCCAAATATTTAGATAAGATGGGGTGAGATTAGGTGCGTCCCCGAGCTGGGCAGCTCCCATCCCTACAATGCGGCAAGCAGGGGGCTGCCAGCCACCGGTGGTGCTGGGATGGGAGGGGAAGGTTTGGGTGATGTACAGGCAGGAGCAGAGCCTTTCCCAGCCAGGCACCTCATTTCAGCAGGGATTAAGGGCTTCTACACAGGATCACCTGCACAGGAAAGACATGCACACAGGAACTGTATATACAGCTCCTCTCATATAGCACCTGTGAGGACCAGGTCTGTGCACAGAATCATGGAATGATTTAGGTTGGAAAAGCCTGCTAAGATCATCAGGTTCAACCATTAACCCAGCACTGTCAAATCCACCACTAACCCATGTCCCTGTGTGCCACATCCACACGTCAGGATCTGTGTGGGCAGGAGGGTGATCCCCTCTACCTTAGTGAGCTCCCAGATGCTACAAAGCATTGAGCAAAAAGCCTCAGGAACACCACAGAGGGAACATGGGCTCCATCCACCCCTCTCCCACCTCTCCAGGGATGCTTCGGTTTGCCCAGAGAAGCTGTGGCTTTCCCATCCCTGGAAGTGTTGAAGGCCAGTTTGGATACGGCTTAGAGCGATCTGGGGAAGTTGTCCCTGCCCATGGCAGGGAGTGGAACTGGATGATGTTTTGGGTCCCTTCTAACCCAAACCACCCTTTGATTCGTTCTGTGATTCTATCCAAAAGCAAGGCACGCTCTCTTGCTCTTCCCTGCAGAGCTGTGGGGAAGTTTTAAGCAGGACAGGGACCTGTGTTGGTGGGGACAGGGGGTGGAAAGGCTGGAGATGCCCGTGGGGGAACTGTGGGGCTGCACAGCCCTGCCCTGATCCTGCTGTGGCCCTCTGGCCTCCCCAGCCCCCCCGCCCCACTTCCCTCAGGGACCTGCAATTCCTGGAAGACCGAAAGCTGCAGCTCACAGATAAGGCTGGTGCAGGGCCCCGGTGAGGAATGGCAGCCAAGAGCTCGGCTTCTTGTAAAGAAACTACTTTTAAACTTTTCCTGTTCCCTGGGAGGGCCGGCGGCAGCCGGGCAGTGCACAGGGATGAGGGAAGATCACAGAATGCATTTGGTTGGAAAAGACCTCTGAGATCACCGAGTCCAACCTATGACCCAACACTACCTTGTCAACCAAACCATGGCACAGAGAGGCACATCCAGTCTCAAAGCGGTCATTCTATAAGGATGGGACACCCTGCACCCCTGGCAATGGGGTGGGATGTTCCCGGGCAGTCCCTGCATGGGGGAGCAGTGCTGACCCTCACTGTTACTGCAGGATGAGTGGAGGACTGCCAGCAAAAACAACTCCTTCTTTGAGAGTTTCTGCTCCACGGCCCAGCACGTGTTTGACGCCAGCAGGGACCGGTGCACGGTGACACTCATGGCCTGCAAGCCCCGCTCCCACCACTGGGCCGTGTGGGTGGTCCTGCACCGTGAGTATGATCCCACCCTTCTGCTGCACTGGGACAGGGTGGCACTGGGGACCCTGGAGGTGGAGGCTTGGCAGAGCCCTCAGGTCTACTAGAGCTTGGCCAAAGGGCTCTGTTCCCACGGCTGCCCCATCCCAGTGGTTTGGGAGAGCTACAGTGAGCCCAGAAATGAGCTTTGTGCCCCAAGGGATACACCAGATTCCTCTGCCATGCTGAGTCAAGGCATTTACCAGACTCCAGGAGGAAGAATTCCTCACAGGTGCTTAAAACTGGGTGCCCAGTTCAAATCCTTCCCCAAAGAAAACAGAGAGGAGCTTCCTGCCCATGTCAGAGCCCTGCTGGGATACCCAGCTCAGCCTGGGTGTGCCCAAACATTGCTTTAGGATCAGGGTGCCTGGGAGGTGGAGACATCCTGCTGCCCTAGAATGAGGAGGAGGAAAGACTGAGCTCCATCCTGCTCTTATTCATCACCGAGCAGTGGTTGGGTGGGTGATCCAGACTCCACATCTGACCTCAGAGAAGGCACCCAGCACTGGGCACTGCTCCTTGAGGAGCCAGGTACAGCCCCTCACTGGGCTTGCTCGTAAATCACCCACTGGAGATGGCTGGTAGGGCCTGGTGTCTCTGGGGCTGTCCCCCTTCCAGAAGGGATCCTGGCTCCGTGTCTGGCTGTGAAGCCCCTACAAGGCTTGGCTTCATCCCCACACATCTTCATCCACCTCCTCCAGAAACTGAGTCACCCCTATGACCAGGGGATGATGGCACAATCTGTCCCCACCTCCACACCTTGTGCTCACTGAAGCCTTTTTCTTCCCCCAGATCCCTTGGACTCTGAAGAAGTCCTCAAGGAGCTGAAGGAGAAGAAGGACAAGTTAGAGGAGGTAAGTGGGTCCCTGGTCATGGCACAGCTGCCCCATGGGTGTCCCCCAATGGTGAGTGGCACACAGCCTGACCTGTCCCTCCTGTGGCAGCTCGGCATCGTCAACATCACCTCTGACAAAATGGTGGAGGACGTGACCATCAACGATGAGTTCAGCACCCCCCTGATCATCACCATCATCACCCTGGCCGGGTCCCTGCTGCTCGTCGCGGCCATCTACGGCTGCCACCAGCGCTTCTCCCAAAAGAAGGACCAGGTAACGTGGCAGGAGGGTGGGACAGGTATCCCAAGACCTTTTCCATTCCAGAGGCATCTTCAGGAGATGAGGATCACCAGTGTTGCTGTCTCTGCTGGTGGAGACATCCTGGCTTGCTCAGTGGGCACCACCCCAGGTCAAAATTTTGAGAAGAAAGGATTTCTCAGTCTGAAACTCCATTCCAAAACACAAGCTGTACCCCTCAAACATTTTCTTGAAATACTTTTACAAGTAGTGGAGTTGGGTTGGGTGCCAGGGAGCTCCAGGCTGAGTGCAGGGAAGAAGGAGTGTCAGCAGGAGGGGCATTGACACTGCAAGGCTCAGCCTTTGCAAGAGCTGGGCCAGGGCCAAATTTCAGAGTAGCAGCAGCAGCAGGATTTAAGGAAGAACCAACACAGAAAGAGAAAATAATGTGATTTTTATCTCAGGAAGCAATCCTAGGTGATTTTAGTGTAGCATCCCCCAGCAAGGACTGGCCATTCCCACATAAGGGGTACTGAGGTTTGCAGTGGTCCCAGCTGCTGATCCTGAAGATTTAGCTCTAGGACAAGAAGCAGAAAAGGAAAATAATTATGAAATCAGATTATGCAATCAGGGTAAACCATCCCCCTGATAGAGAAGCAAACCTATTTCACTCCTACTTGAAGTCATTTTCCCCTGCACCAGCTCATCCTTTCTCAGCAATCCCAACCTCTGCCCCGTGGGAAAATGAGGGATAAAGTTTTAAATATTTGCAGTGCAAGGTAGGTGAACACAGGAGGGAGGAAGAGCAAACAAATGCCCCTGTCAGACTTGTTTGTACTTAGCAGGTTTGATTTTTTTGGGAAGAAATAGGGGAAGAGGCAAGACCTCAATAAATATTTGACCTGCATTGTGGTGATCCCCTTGGATCTTCCAGGGTTTCATCATCTCTTGCATGAAACCTCCCTAGCTGGGGTGAAAAACATCCCACCAGGGACGGATAACAACATAACACGCCCCATGTTGTTCAGAAAATGCGTAGGAATAGGGTATTTTTAGCGATGGGAACATGTCTCCCTAAAATAACCTGGTGCAGAGGAATAGATACTAGTCCAACTTGGATGTTCCAGAGGTAAATTCCCACCAGGCATAGGGAAAAATAGCAAAACTAAAGCAAGGGATGGCATTTCCAAAAACCAAACACATTTCTCCTTCCTGGCTTTGTTTTTGGGTGGTTTCTTTTGTTCTTCTTCTGTTTAGTTTCCAAAAATGACTTGAAAGTTTGTTTTTTTTTTTTCTATTTTATTTTTTTTCCCTCCAATCCTCCTCGCCCCCCCTCTCCCTCCCTGTTGTTTTATCTTGGAAATACCCAGAACATCCACCCTGATGTCCCCGGGTTTGATGATGGACATGTGGCCCTGATCTTTAATGTGAGTTCCAACACAGGGATCGGAGGGGCGGGCGCCGCATCCGTAACACCCCCGGCTCTCACCTCCGGCGCTTGGTAGGGCCCAGTAGCTTTTAACAGGACTAAAGCCCAGCTTTACAGCCCCTTTCCCCTCGCTGCATGACTGGAGGGTGCCTTGCCATGGTGGGAGAGCAGCAATCCCAGAGGGAAGCAGCCCTTGGGAGAGCCCAAGGTGTGTCCTCTGCTTTGGAGCATCCCACAATCCCCACCCTGCCAAGAGTGACACAGGGGACTCCCAGCAGTGCCTTTGTACCCCCTCTGCCAGCACCAAGCCCTGCGGTTTTGCTTCTCCATCCCTCTCCTTCTCCATGTATTCCCTCCCATGCCTGTCTCCTGCCATTTACTGGGAGCACTGTAATAGAGCAAGCTGTGAATACAGGCAGATTTTAACAGGGCTTCCCAAAAAGGGCTGAGCAAGGACTGCAGTTCCCCACCGAATCCTTCCAGGGAAGGATAGGGATGAAGGACCCACTGAGAGCCCTGTGCTTCTCAAAAAGGGCTGGCCAAGGACTGCAGCTCCCCACTCAGTCCCTCTAGGGAAGGATGGGGATGCAGGAGCCCAAGTGGATGCAAAATTAGGATGGGCTAGGGTTCTGCCAAGAGGTGAAGGGTTGAGTTGGAGCCTGAAGCATATCACACCAAAAGACCAAGGTGATAAAATTTCTGATTCTATCTTTCCCTGCCTGGTTTCCACTGAGAGTTCCAGAATGAGGAGGGATAATGCTCAAGATCTGGCAGGTGGGAGCTGCCCCTGAGTAAAGAATAATAAAGCAACTAAAGAAAGACAGAGATGGAGAGAAAGGGGAGGGGAAGAGCAGATTTGAGGTAGGGAGGCAGGAGTTGGGATGCAGTGGTGCTCAACCTCTTCCCAAGGCCCTGGGTGGAACAAACTGAAGCTGGCAGCTGCTCCTGGAGGTTTTCCACATCTCTGGCTGTTCTTTCCTCCTTCCCATCATCAGCAGAGTCTTCCTCTTGCCAGCTCCATGCTATCCCCTTGCTCCCCCTGCCTCAACCTCACCATAAAAGTCTCTATATATAGTTATACAAACCTATACAGGGCAGCTGTCACAGCTGGCTGGGAGGTGACAGCCCTGAGGTGACACTCACAGCATGGCCAAGGTGTTGTTCAGTGGGGTTTATGGTTTTCTTTCCTCATAGCAGCGCCTGACCGAGGAGATGCAGACCATGGAGAACGGCTACCATGACAACCCCACGCTGGAGGTGATGGAGACCTCCTCCGAAATGCAGGAGAAGAAGGTGAACCTCAACGGTGAGCTGGGGGACAGCTGGATCGTTCCTCTGGACACCCTCATGAAGGAGGACCTGGAGGAAGAGGAGGACACGCATCTATAGGATGCAGAACTTGATCAAGAAAAGAACAACCACCCCCCCCAAAAAAATCCCACAGACCCTAAACACACGCACACAGAGCTCCAAAATAAGGCAAAATTCCCCCCAAAAAGAAGAAAATCCTTTAATAAACTAATCATGGCCACTTGTGCCACCACATGGGATGCAGGATGGAAGAGGAAAGGACATGAGAACACCTCTGGAGCACATCAACACAAGCCACTTTGGTGGCCACATCTGGCTAAGCATTCTCCATCCCTCATCCACCTCCCAAGGCAGAACTGACCAGCCATGGGCAAACAGGGTGGCTTTGCTCCTGAAGAGCTGCTGGTGTCTCCTCCAAGCATGTCCCCTCCCATCCCACATCTGACCACACCAGCCGCATCCTCCAGCTACTGAGCGACTCAAAAATCAAGAGAAAGAAAGTAAATAGGACTGGAGATGGAGTGTGTCTGACAGCAAAGCAGCACCTGGCAATTAACAGCTTGACAAATCCTCTGGCCCATGCTGTTTAGTCATCACCCTGCCCTCCCTGACACCCAGGTAGTGAATGAAAAAAGCTGGAACAGCTTGTTCCTTTTTAATCTGGTTTCCATCCACTCCTCAGAGCTAAAACGCACAAGAGGCCCTCGTTGTGCCACAGGCAAATGGATGCATCTGGACCCAGCCGGATGGCAGGGATGCAGCAGTGCCAAGTGATGCTCAGCCCCGCTGCCAAGGGCTGTGGAACAGATCCTGCACCCACGTGGAGACTGGGAGAGGTGCAGCATCTTCTTGTTTTGAAAGGATGAGATGGAGGGAGAGGAAAAGGAGGAATTCCTGGAGTTCATCCCTCTTAGGAAGGGTGTGGAGAGCAAGAGCAATGCCTGGTCTCTAGCCCAGGTGTGATGTTGGGGGGTTTGTGGTGCAGGAGCCCAGCTCTGGTGCTGCATTTCCCCACAGAAGGATCACTTGCCTTCCAGGAGTTACACAGCAGCATCTCACAGCCCTCATCCATCCTCCACAGGACTGTGGGACACACGCACCACGACGGTTTGTGATTTTTGAGGGCACATTTTCCTGTGTGAGCTGCAGAAGAGGTAAAAGAGCAGCAGAACGTGAGCCAGGGAGCTTGGTGGCATTCAGGTGGCCCTTGGTGTTTCATTCCCTCGAGGTTTAAAAGCTCAGCCCATGTTCTCAAACTCTTCTTCACAAGCCACTAAAATAACAGAGACCTGCAAAGCAACTGCCAGCTCAGCAGTGAAGCTGGGACTGAGCTTTCTCCTGCAGCCCTTGGTCTGCCACCCAGGTCTCCCTTTGCTGAAGCCTTTAAAGGGGAGAAGAAAAACATGGCTGGACTGAGGCCATTTCTGGGATTTTGATTCCCCACCACATCCCCTAAATAGCTCTAAAGGGTCGGGGAGAGTTTTATGCCTTTGCTCTGGTGAAGCAGCTCTGGCACAGGCAGGGATCATCCTCCTGCTGGGGTCCATCCTCCAGGACATGAGGCCCTGAAGGTCATGTGGCTGAGTCCCTCTCCCAACGTGAGGATGGTGCTCGTCCCAAACCCTCTGCAAGCCAGAGGAGCTGCAGATAAGAGCGATGCCCAAACATGGCCCTTTTCCTCTGCTTGCCATAAACCAAGGCACGACGGGGAGATTTCCTTTGGGCTCTGCCACCAAGCCAACCCAACTGGGATCTGCTCCCACAGCTGCCCTGAACGAGGGGAAAAGCAGGGCCAAGCAATGGGAAGCTTGGAGAAACCCTGGTGGAGTTGGGAGTTCTCAGGAAGGAGGGGATCAGGGTGTTTCGCTCAGCCCCAGGACAGGCACTGGCAGAAGATACAAGTGGCTCTTCCCCCCTTCTGTCCTGCACCGAAGGGCAGAGTCTGAAGTGTTCAAACCTTTATATTTTTGTATATAAATATTCCTGCTACTCATTAGCAATGTATTCCGCACACTTCACTTACCTGTGCACTGCACTATGGGGAAGTAATTTTGGAGGGGAGGGGAAATAACAAAATAAATTATAAAAAAAAAATTTAAAAATCTTAAAAATAAGAAAAAAAAAAAAAAAAAAAAAAAAAGAAAGAAAAAGCTAAAGGCCAGCCTGATAGGGGATTAAAATTTGACATGAAGCAGAAAAACACCTCTTGCCCAGATAACTTTTTGCCACGGCTTTGTCCCTGTTCAAGTTCAGCTCCTTAACGTGGACACGAGTCTCAGAACATCCACAATTACTCTTGTGAGCATTGTGGCCTCCCAGCTGCCCTGACAGACAAGCAGAGGGTCCATGGCCTCACATTTCTGTCCTTCCCAGAAAACAAACACAGAGAGAACACAGGGCAGCAGCAACACTGGCCACTGGGGCTGGAGCTGCCACAAGGACACCCCTGGCAGGGCATCTCCAGGCGGTCGGGCTTTGGCACGTGCCTCAAGACTCCCCCTTCCCAGCAAAGAGATGCCAAAGTGCTTTAATGAGTCAGGTCCAAAGACTTTCCAAGAAAACCCTACAGAGGCTTGAGATCAAGTAACCTTAAATCTTTCCGAGCAGAGACCAGTGAGGATATTAACTGCTCAGCAAGTGCTTATAGTGATTTATATTTGAATAGGAATTGTACATTTATTTATTTTTCCAGACACCATATTTTTAAACCACTAATATTTTATAGTAGATTTTCCTTCCCCTATTTAAAAGAACTATTTCCACAGGAAAAGAAAACAGTACTTTTTTCTTTTTTTTTTTAATGTTGAGAACATTCTTTTTTTGGAAAAAAAAAAAAATCAGGTAGGAAATGCAGCAATGAGCATCTTTGGCCTTAACCCTTCCCTTTGTAGACTGTAGCCATAATTGTTAGACCAAAAAGAATTAAAAAAAAAAATAAATTACTGAGGCATTTCCTTCCTCCCTGCCCCTCCTCCCTTCCCTGCACTCCTCTTCTCTCCCCCAAAACAGCTTTAACATCCCACACATTGTACAAAGAGATTCCTGCTCTTACCTTTTGGCGAGAACTTTACGATCAGCTCTGATGTCCTTGCAAGAGACTTTTCTATTTTCAGATTCACGAGGAAATGTGTAAATACTTTAGGAGCATTTTATCTCCCGCTCACAGTGCCATGACCCAGCTGACGAGGTTGATACTGTGACTGCTGCCTACAGAAGACACACAGGTCAGAATCCATGAGGGACTGGAGAAGGAAAACCTAATTCCCCAGGTGGTTACCTGTTGAACCTTGCACATGTAGTAGGGCTCTTACTGTGTAGCAGCATCCCTCATGGGGACAGGAGTCTGATTTACACTGGAATTTATTGAGGAACTGGATTGTAAGAGATTATTCTTGCATTTTCCTACAAATATATTTTGAGAGCATCATGTATTTCTGTCAATAAACATTCTTACTTAAAAGACTCGTGTCTTTGGATGAGTGAGGAGGAGGTGGGCAGGGCAGAGGACAAGTTCCAGGGCCACAACTTCCTGCTCTGGAGATGGGAAAACACTGGACCATCTGGAACAAAACCAGCCCAGACCTTCAAGGTAGCCAGCTACAGAAGAGCCTGATTTTTCCAAAGCAGAAGGAAGTATTATAGTGGTGGAAAACCTCTTAAATTTAAAAACCAGAGGACTCAGGGGTGGGCAGCTGGGGTGATGTGAGGGCACCAGAGCCTAAACACTTACTTGAGCTCTTGGTGCCTTCAAGCTGTCAGAGGGAAAGGCAGCTCACCCTGATTTCTGCATTACATCCTTTTTTCTGCATTTCACCCTTATTTATTTCCCCATTTCATCCTAACTCACTCAGGTCTGCAGCCCCTCCTTGCACTCAGGCCAGGCTGTGGAGGAGGGAATCAAACCTCTCATCCATGAAGCAGGAGAGGCATCACCCAAGGGCAGCACAGGGGCAGCAGCAGCGTGGGCAGATCAGCAACTCCATTGGCCTTCAAGTGCCCAAAATAAAACATTTTGTTCCAGGTTAAGTTTCTGCTTATGTAAAGGGAAAAAAAAAAAAGTAATTTGGTTGAAGTCAGATATTAAAAATCAGCTGTTTGGCACAGCCTGTGTTCTAACTCTGTGTTCTTCCCCAGAAAACGTTCCTGTGAATGTTGGGAATACACTGGATTTATGGGATACTGACTGAGCTTATCAGTGACGTCAGGAAACAGGGCCAGACATAATGCACCGCTAGTTTCACAATTTCTCCAGCACTAAAAGACCTTCACAGGCATTTTTCCACTCTCCGAAACAATGTGAGAATAAACAGATCTTAAATCAACACCCTTGCTAGCATATACTTTTTTATTAAGAAAAAAATGAACAAAATACATTCTCTCCTTATGTACATTACATACAACATAACTACATTTGTAGTTATTCCTCGTGTCACTCATTCATTTATGTACAGCATGGGGCTCACACGCCAACCCAGAAATCATCAAAGATGATTTATGCCAAGGAAGAAAATTAACACTCCAGGCTGAACAAAGATCATCCATAAAGAAAAGGGGAGGGAAGGAGAATCACAAGAGTCCAGGGAAGATGCCTGTAACCACCATGGGCTCAGCACAGAAGCAGTATTTGACCTGCCTATTAAAACACATGAGCAGTTCACAGCTTTCATCACCCCATGGATGCTTCTTTCCAGCCCAGGGCTGTCCGCACCTCTCAGCTCAGCTCTCCTGTGCTCAGGTGTCCCAGACAACAGCTGCAGGACAGACACCAAAGGGAATCCAGACGGACACCAGAGCCTGCAGGATTGCTAGGGAGGTGCAAACGCTTCAAGCTGGGTGCCAAAACAGAACAGAGAAGCCAAATTGTGGACAGGGGGTGGACACTCACACTTCCAGCACTAGGGAGGGAGAACCAGCTTTTGGGGACCACACTGGGGTGTGGAGGACAAGATAATGAACACTGAAAGTCCAGACAAACAAACCATCACACACCACAGTGATACCATCAGAGCAGAGGCAACAGCTCAACAACCAGCTCGAAACCCCACCCCAATCAGGTGATGGTGCCCAGCCAGCTCACTGGTGTTTGACCCCAAGCCACCCAGGTCCTGTCTATGCCACCAACTCCCCTTAGAGGGGCAATTACAGCAGTTTCAAAGGGCAAACATTTAACAAAGCTCAATACTCCCAAAAATGACACACACTGCATCTCAGCACCTAAATGCACATGTACAACACCAGCAGCCCACAAGGATGGGAATGTCACCTCCAGCTAACTGGGAATGAGCCCACAGACTTTCCATCTGCCCCTCAGCAAAGTGGTCTGTGTGGTTTGGGGCCTCCAATTCCCAAGACTCCCATGAACACATTTGTTTGTATAATTAAGCTCTTTTCTCTGGCTTAAGGTCTCCCCGGCACCCCCTCATTTCCTGCTGTGGAGGAGGGAGTGCTGGAGGACACAGCAGAAAATACAGCTTTAGCAAATGGCAACAGCTACTAATAACGAGGGGTTTTGTTTTCCTTTCCACTACCCTGCACAGCAGCTTCTGAAGTGAAGAGTGTTTTGCACATCAAAACATCAACAGGAGGGGACAGGAATGAGGAGGGAGAGATGAAGGCAATATTCACCCTCCACTGCTAGTTTGCATTCCCGATGACCACAGCAGACAGGAGAGGAAAACAAGTCAGCAGCACAGTAGTTCTCCTCCATTTTCCCCTTTTAAGAGCTGAGTTTTTGTCAAAACCTCAAAAAAACAAAAACAACAAAAAACCCACTTTTCAACCTCAGCTTTTATTTTAATGAACAGACCCTGTTCACACACCGCAGTACTTCTCTTTTTAGTGACACACTGAGTAATTGATTGAATCCCTTGGTTACTAAATCAGGATATTTAAAGTATATTTTCCTATCACTGGGGAGTAAAACCTATCCATTGCTATTTGGGATGTGGAGATGACTGCAACCACTGGAGCCACTGTTATGGTCTAGCCTCCCCACCATCATATTAATTCAAAAGAACCTAATCTCCTTTAATTGAACTGGCAGCTTTCATCAGAAAGCTCAGAACGTTTTCAGGTTTTAACAATCCCTTAAGGCAGGCAGACCTGATCCAAAAGCCAATGGTGCTGCACCACCTCCAGTCTGTTTGAGCAGGGTTAAGCCCAACTGGCTTCCTTGCAATTGCTGTGGAGAGAAAAAATTTTGTATTATTGTCTCTGGTATCTTTAGGGTGGATAGAGGCCAAAGCTCGAGGTGAAGCTCCAGGATTAGGAGACCCTGATATTGTACCAGTTCTCTCTGAAAAAGAGCCAGAGAATCCACATTGTAAAATCAGCTCTGATTTTAGAATTATTTTAGCTTTTTTATATTATTTTAGCTTATTTTATAAGCTACTGTTAGGAATTCTTCGAAGCCCTTCCACAAAGACAGACCACACCTTACACACCTACTCACATCTGGCATCCCTGTAATTAACCCCAAAACTATTTCTCTTCTCACTCCCTCTGCCCTGCTACGCTGCAGAAATAAACCAAACACCACAATACCTGTGAAAGTTCTGGATGATTAGAGCAGGTGCAGGAACCTAGGACAACTTGAGGGTTGATATCATCACCTTTTTCTTCTTGGGGCCACACAAAATAAACCTTGAGATGGGAGGGAAGAAGAATCACAGCACTGAATATGATTCCATACAGCACAAGTAAGTAAGTGTGTGCTGCAGTGGGAAATCATCTCCCATGTTTCCCTGTCCTTACCTGGGATCAGAAACAGCCCTGGAGAGAACAATGTAAATCACAAGGAACCTTCCTGACTGATTCAGAGGCAGCACAATGGAGTTTTGCAAAGGAAGCAACTGGAGTACAATGTGGAGAAACTGATGCCTCAATAACCACTATGCAGCTCCAACCTTTAATACCTCTGTAATGTAATATAAGTACCCATTAAACTCAGGGAAGTCTGAAGCATTTTAATAGCAATGAACAGCCACACAGGGAAAGAAAATTCAGAATAAATAGGGGAATAACCAAGGGGTTGTGCTTTAGCCATCACACCTGCTAGTGGTAAGACTTTCCTTTCAAATTAGCAGCGAACCCAAAAATCTTATCTGACTGA